CAGCCCCCAGCCCGGCCTTCCAGCAGGTGGGGAGAGGAGGCACCACGGTCCTGGAGCAGCCACGGAGCCCCCCAGGGGGATCGGTCGGGTTCTTAAGCACTACGGGCACTGCCTGGTCAGGACTGGGATGTGATGGACTGCAGACATGTGGCAGTCTGATGTAATTTGGGAGTCAGGGACTTTGAACTAGCTGAACTGGCGGAGGATGCCACTTGCTTTTGTGGGTGGTATGAAGGAGAAGAGGATGGATCCTTGGTTGATTGGTTTCTTTTCACTGATTTGTATTATGGAATGTGGCAAACAGGACAAAGAGGAGGAAGAGGTACCTACCCCAGAAAAACTGAAGTTTCTTCTTTAAAAATAAAAGTAAAAAATCTCTTCTCCCTGTCAAACTGTTAACTATCAACAACAACAAAAACATATTCCACCCAGATTCATTGTGGTTGAAAAAAACATGTTTTTTAAATGTCAGCCAGCTCCAGTTTTAACCTTATTGTTTCTCTCTCTCCTCAAGTTCCCAACCCCATCCCCTGCTGGGAACTGAGTCATGTTCTGTCGCTGAGCTCTCCTTAGACAGCTCAGCTCTGCTCGAGTCACTTTTTCTGGCCGTTCTGTTCCACGCTTTGAAGTTTGCTAACCCACCTCCAAAATTTAGGGTGTCAGCTGAAAAACAGAACATTTCAAAGCTGACTCCCCTGCTCTGTAGAAAATCAATTATTATAATGGCCTTGTTATTGACAGGTGTGTGGGCCGCCTTTCTCATGGGTAAGACGATGACATAAATCTAGCATTAAGCATTCTCTTCGTCACCATCTTCCCTCTCCAGCAGCTCTGCTGACTGCAGTCCTGTTTTCCATGCCTCTGGGAGTGACGGCTGGGTCTGGAACAGGCTGTTTCTAGCGTGCCTCTTATGGAACAATCAGAAAGATATTTGCGTCCTTACTCTTCCTTTTGGCTGAAGCCCCTTTTCAGCATCTCCATAGTTACCTCTTCGTCCGCCCGCAGTCACAGCTGCCTGTGTGCAGCCACCTCGCCAGCAGTCCTTGCGGTCTGGAATGACCTTCCTCCATCTATCTCCTCTCGGCGACTTCCATCTGAAGATGTGGCTTCTCCCTCCCCGCCTCGTTGCTGTCTCCTGCTGTTAGCAGCTCTGTGATTGAGTGCTTTAATTCACCCGCCTGGCAACGCGTCCGCTGCTCTGCTCCACCTAGGCTGTGCCATCCACTCCTTGATAGCCTATGTTGCACTTTTCAGTCCTGTGCTGCAGTTTTATGTGATAGCTGCTATGCAAAAATATTTGTCCTGGGTGGACCTTTCCTATCCTAAACGTGGGTGGTTGGCTCTTCCCTGGGAGAGTGCAGATTGTCCATGTAAACCATGGGAGAGCAGCGTGCTGTTCTGGGACCTGGCTGCACCAAGCTCCAAGGCCGTGTCTATTGCATTACCTGGTGGCCTCAGCTGTGCATTTCTCTACTCAGGTGGGAACAGCATTGTGGCTTGGGGTCGTGTTTGCAGTGGCTAACTTGTAAACAACAAAGTGTTTTGCTGCCAAAGGAGCAGCGTGCTCAGCAGCTGCTCCTCACTGCCTCTGCTCCTCCTTCCTAGGGCTGCAAAGTGGGAGCTGTGCTCAAGCCAGCTCCGATACTTGTCTGCTTCTTCACGTTGCATCTGAACTGCAGGCTGAGCGGCAAGAGGGACTCCAGCAATACGTGAATTACAAAGTCATTCAATTGTCAAGCCTTTTAAGTGTCAAGTTCTCCTTTAAACCCAGAGACTGTGACATTCAGTAAAGAACAGCATCGTTTCAATGTCAGGAAGGTCTATTCTTAGCACATCAGTCAAAAAGAAAAAAGTCTTTGGGGGGTGGAGGGGAGCAACCAAAAAACAATTTTGCCAAAATGAGCCGTGTCAGAAATGATCAATTCATCCTCCATTCAGAGTGACCTGGTCCTTGCTGCGTGCCAGAGGACAAAATTTGATGACACAGCACAATAAATTAAGATTACCAGATCTTCTTGTAATTAATTCTCTTGCAGTGCAGGTTTGGCAAGGAATAATTTATCTCTGAGGTGATTAAAGCACCAGTGGTGGTTGTTTTTTTCTTTTTTCTTTCCTTGCTGTTCTCCCCTTTTTTTCCCCTCCCTCTCTTTCTTTTAGGAACACTTTTCCTCAGTTAGTAGAAGAACAGGTGCTGGTGGTAACAACCCCCCTTGTATTTTACTCATGCTATTTAAATGCCTTTTCCTCAGTATGAGTTATGAACAAAATAATAAACCTGATCCGTAACCTACTCTTCAAATGTACTTGATGTTGTAACAGGTATGATTCTTGGAAGAAACTGAAGTTCTAAAGCACTCATCCTAACACCCTAAAATTATTTACTCCTCAACTAAAAGAGAAGAAGAATTTATTTAGCACCTTAGAACCTTAGGAAGATGTCTGTGTTATTTCTTCCAAGCGGTGTCTCCTAACTCTGCTCACAGAGATGCTGTTGGTGGGCGTATTCAAGGGCTGAGAAGGTGCAAAGAGCTTTCTCCAGCCTTCTCGAAAAAGCCACGTAAATGTCTTTGTATCTTTAATTAGATGGGAACAGAGTTCTATTACTAAAATTTTCTTATGGCTGAAGAAGAAACTGAGTCCTCTGGAGGGTGACGCTGGTAACGGACTTGTTCCAACACGGACTCTCTCTGTGCCCATCCTGACCATCTCCAGAGAGACATCGCGGCATCGCTGTCATCAGTGTGCTTCTGTCTCTCTTGCTCTCCTTAGTATTCATGCAGTGATGATCATGTGCAAATTACTCACACTTTTGACTTGAGAAAACTTTCTTAGCCCAGAAATTCATCCAATATCAAGGGAATTAGAAATTCAAATGGGGAGAAATCATACACTATGTGTCAATACAGCAGACCTTATAAAAGCTGCAGTCAATCATATTGGCATCAAAGGTGGCGGTGGCACGTTTCCTTGCCACCAGGTGCATTGCAGTCCAACAATAAAGGAAAAAATGAATCAGAACAAAAACCTTTGGTATGCTGCCTGCCCGGGACAGCGTCAGCCACAAGCACTGATCTGGAGTCAGCTCTGGAGCTTCTTTGTATTGTCATCCGTGGCTATGCACAAGTCCTGTTTGGTTATTTGTCTTGCCCGTTTATCTGCCTGGGCTGTACTCTAAAGCAAGTTCTGTGTCTCAGCATATTTACGTACTGGTTCAGTAGAACAAGTGCTTTCTCTTAGTCTTCATTTCTGTAACTGGGCTGTTGTGCACTGGCCCCTTAACGAACTTCTATGTGCATGTTTCTTTTTAGAAATGCTTCTTTTAGGCAATATTTAAGAGTTTGAATGGGAGCAATTGGGGTCTATTTTTTGTTGTTTGTTTTTCTTTTATATATATATATATATAAATTTATACATTTGAAAACACAAAATGTGTTGCTAACTGCAGAGGAGCATTTGTCCTTATAGCTGCTTAGAAGTTACTGCATTGACCTGTAAGTTCACCGTACAAAGAAATCAGATGTTAACGGGCTGAGGTTTTGTTGCTGGTTGTGTTCTCTAAGGTTCTGGATTTATACTTTTAAACACAGAATGGAGAGTTTACCTGTCTTCCAGTGATGCAAAGCTAAATTAGCTGTTAACACTGAAGTAGTAAAAGGTTGTTGTAATGCTTGTAATGCCGTCCTGTTTGTTACCTGCCAGGTTACATTTCTGCAGCCAACATCCCGATAAAGGGTGCTGTCTGCATGCACGCTGTTCGGTGAAAGAGATTTTGTTTAATTTAAAGTGGATGTAAGTGCTGCTGAAAGGTAGGAGGCTGACGCAGCTGAAGAGTGGAAGCTACGACCCAGGAAGCTGCTTTACAAATCCACAGAGCATTTCTCTGTGCATGAGAGAGAGCAGACAGTGTGAGGGAACATCTGGTGGTCCTCAACAGAAAGGACTCGGGGCAGAGATGGAAGCTTACAAACACACCCCTCAGTGTGGCTTTGCCCTGATCTGGAGTTTGGATTTCTTCCTCTTCTAAGTGATAACGCCAAACCTAATGCAGATATAAATGTAAATCCCAGCACCGATTTACGGAGCCTGTAATTCATTCCTGCGCGATTCTGCCTCTCTGTTACTCTGCTTATGTGCTTTGCCTGCCAGATGTTGTGGTTTTGTAGGTCTTGTATCTCAGCGCTCTGCTGTCAGCTCCCTGAGATGCGAGCAGTAGGCAGGACCCAGCTGCTTGCCCCCAGCAGAAATGGCACATCTTGCTGCTACTGCTCGCCAGCAGATCCCCTGGGTCTTGAATTTCTGGCAGACAGAATTCCATCGGGAGAACTGAACCAAACCTTTAGTGTACAGTTGTTGTAAAAACCTGATTCTGGTTTTGTTGTAATTTAGCAGGCTGAAATGGAGTTATAATAATCTGTTATACTTTGAGTGAATCAGTAGGTTTATACTGGTAAAAACAGACTATCCGGTAATCCCCTAGCATTTCCAGGTTGTTGGGTTTTGTTTGCTTGTTTTTTTTTTTTTTTTTTTTTGTTTGTTTGTTTTTTGTTTTTTTTTTGTTTTTTTTTTGTATTCTCAGTGTATTCTTTCTATGTTAGGTGTGTGTGTAGCTGATAACTGTGTGTTTCTGGGTGTGTGTCTTCAAACCTCCAGGGCAGAGAGGCAGCAGGAACCAGACAGCCAGAAAGACCAACAGCTCCCTTTAGTGAATTTGGGGACACTTAGGGTGCCTCTATATGTACGTATTTATTTCTCACGTCTGTGACAGAGTGAGCAATAAAAGCCGTATTGCTTCTGACAATGAGAGTCCAGGGTTCAAGTCCCTGTTCGGGTGGTGATGATTTATTTTTTATACTTTAGTGGGTGATACTGGTGGGAGGGGGATGCTTGGACCAGATATCTTGGTCTATAAACCACCCTTTATGGCCCTACAACGTGTAGTGCATCCAGTACCCGGCGTGTGCAATGGGTGAGCTCGTGCTGGGGCGTGGGTTTCGGCTTACCTTCTGCGCTCTCCTCTTGTCGGCCCGCTGGTTCTGGTGGTAAATTCGGCTGAAGTTGGAGACAATGACCGGAACGGGCAGAGCAATGACCAGCACCCCACTCAAGGAGCAAATGGAGCCAAATATCTTCCCGGCAATTGTCTTGGGCACCATGTCACCATAACTAGAGGGGAAAGAACAAAAAAGGGGAAGCCCCTCCTTCAGACCAGTGTGGTGGCACCAAAAGCCTGTTCAGGTTCTCTGAGCGAGCAGCAGCGTGGGTGTCCAGGTGAGACAATAAAACAGAAACCTGCCATACAAGCAACACGTCCTGTGGATTTACACCACGTTCTGGCAATGGATTGAGCTACACCAAAGAAGGGTGCCCTGGCTGCAGAGTGCCTGTGCCAGCCCAGGCAGCGGCTCAGCATGTTAAATTCATGCCCTCACTCATTCAGCACCTACCTCTCCATGTCAATGAGCTCTAACAAAGTTTGTCTGCGTGTACGTCTGCTTGTGACCAGTTCATGTATTTTCATTCCCTTGTACCGAGGTGCAAATGAGGACTGACTGACGCTTGTGTTTAAAGACTGCAGGCAGTTTCCTTGCCATCTATGCATTCAGAAATACGAGGTGCAATAAAGTCTGCATTCGGTAATGAATGAATTCTCAGGAATGAGTCCAGCTGAAAAATGTTAAGACAAACTTCTGCACCGAGGCTGACCCAGCAATCTTTTCATTAACTATTGTAATATGTATGTTAAATAATACCGGCAGAATCGGAGATGAAATAATCCATTTTCTGCAGATGGGAGATCCTGCTGGCTTAGGTTTTTTAGGTTGCACATGATAAATCACTGCTCTGAGTGCTTTTTTTGCTGTCTATATTTTCACTCTGCAAATTGCAAAAGCTCTTTGTAGTGGTTTTATACTTAAGCTTTAACAGTTTCCTTCTGTAAAGGCAACCGATGTGCTTATGGCCACTCGGCAGTGCAGTAGGAGCGAGTGTGGCACTTGTTCCATAACGCTGTGTTACAGTGAAGGTAACTGGGATTTTGCATTTTGATTTACAGTTTGGCCTGTACACAATCCCCGTGTTTTATGCCAGGTGATGGGACCTCTTAATTCTAACCGACCACGCTGTTGCTGACAGCTCTCCCATCTCACAGCACAGCCTCTGATACCCAGTCGGGCAGCAGCTGCTGGCAGTGCAAGCGTTGCTGCCCTGCCTTCAGCAGATGCAGAGGAAACCTCCGCAGGAGGCTCGTTCTCCCCTGCCGTTTACCCTCTTGAAGCGACTTCAATGCTTTCTTCTGCACATGGTTGATAGGCAAATAAAAACCCATCCAGAAAGCTGGAGGTGGGCTGCGCTGCGTTCTGATCGTGTAACAAAGAGCTCGTTTGTAGCTAATGCCCTCAGAGTATGGTGGGAGCACGATTAGCTCAGCCGCTGCCTGAATTTCCAGGAATTGTTTCAGGGAGCCAGTTATTGCGTGCTTGTGTGCAAGTGTGTATTAACATCCGAATTCAGGGAAGTGATTTTCAGCTGGAGGAAAGGGAAAAGCAAATGGCCAAATAACAGGTTTTTTATTTGTTTTTTGTGTGTGTGTCTGTGTGTTTTTTAGAGGGGTTGACACCAAACTGGCTGTGTGCAAGCCTCTGGAGTACAGGAATTCCCAAAGCACCTTTGGGGCTCAGGAGGTCAGGCAAAATCCCACTGCAAGCAGGTTTGTCTGATCTGGTCACAGCCAGGAGTGGAAGGGAGGACCTAGGCACTGCAGCCTGCTGAAATGTTGTAGGGGACAGGGAAATGATGCTGAAGTCTGGGCCTGAGGAAGATGTCCCTTGTTTCAGGGAGCTTGAGATCTGGAAGGCTTCTGGTTGCTATCAGATGGCGTTTGGGATTTCCATGCTTTTCTTTGGGGTATTTTGGTGTTTGATGGAGCAAATACTGAAAATTAAAGTGATTTATAGCTGAGGTTTTATTTTTCAGACATCGCTAGCTAATGCTTAATTATTCCAAGCAGAATCCTTCTCCTGTGCTCACCTGCCCTGCGCGCACTCGCGCTCGGAGTGCCGCGAATCGATGCCGTGCTATTTACGTCTGTTAACTTCCCAGCTGCTGCTGCTTTATGCAAAGATAGTTTAAAAGCTCTTGCTAAGTGACAAGGTCTTCTGCCTCATTTAACACTGTTCTAAAAAAATCTTTCTCACTTTTTTTTTGCTACTGCCCCTTAACACGATAGGGCTGACAAATTAATCATATGCCTCAAACATGATCTCAGTGACCTGGAGTATGGAGAGAAAGCCCTGCTGTGCATTTGGAGGAAGTATAATAAGAAATGTCTGCCTCTTGGTCTGCCTTGTTGAGTTTTGTTCTTACACACAGACTGAGAGTTACCTCATTACTTGGGACTTCAGAGAAGTTGCTTTAAAACAGGCAGGATCTCGGAGCGCGGAGACTGATTTTTCTGGGGAGGTGCAGGACTTTATTTGCAAAACTGTTGGGAAAGAGACAGTGATGGCAAATTTTGCACTGGCTGGAGTAGGCTGTGCAGGAACGAGACCTAGAATTTCTCCGCTCTGACACTGACTCCTCTGGATCTACTGCAGAATTACCTGCGGAGAGGATGTGCTGGGTTGGGCACTGGGGGCTGCATGGCACAGCACGTGTTCGCAGCCATGGTTCTGCCTTTCCTGGGCTACTGACCTGCAGTGCAAGTGTCAGTGGTACTTGGAAGTGTCCTGGCTTTGTGCTCAGAGTAAAATCCAGCTATGCTTCTGGGGAACTTGGGCTATTTTTAGATGACCTATTCTTAAAAAGAAAAATCCATTCAGACTTCTAACGGTTCGGGGTTACCTCCAGGTGCGTGCCCCTGGGGTATGTGGGTCAGTGCAGAGCACGGGCGTTACTCAAAGCTGCAGGACAGATTGTTCTGTGTACCCCTCCTGGGTGTCTTACGATAAGCAAGAAGAACAGGGAGGAATACAAAACTGGCAATGTTCAGACCTGAATCGCATTTTAGCAGTGGGGAAGGAGCACGGTGCAGGATGGCTCCAGGCACAGTGTCTTGGGGAGCTTGGAGCAGTGGCTGCTGCAGTGTTAAATGCTGGGGTGACAATTTATTTTTGTCCTGAATGCTACCACAAGTGCTAATGGCCACGTGGCATATTTATAACCGATATAGTGCCAAATAATCTCAAATATTGTATTTCAGTTAGTACTAATTGAGCATTTTAAAACCAACGTTTTTTAAAATGGAAGGAGAGAACCCAACTTGCCTATTAATTTGTTTAGTACAAGGCAACTTGTCACCTCAAAAATTTCTGCTACAGAAGGTGCATTTTAAGCAATTCATCAATAAGCTCATTAGAGCAGTAAGAAGATAAAAGAGTTAGGAAATGATTAACATTCAGAGGGCCTAACGGGATGTTAGAGCCTGTGATGCAAACAAAGGGGGCTGGAAATTCAGTACATTTTCCTGTGACCTTTAGGAAGTCATTTCAGCTTTTGGGACCTCAGCTCCCCCTTGATGAAATGGCACTTGGTTATTTACTCCTCACCTGCTTGGTTAGATGAGGCATCAAGATCCTCAGAGCCCTAACTGCCCCACATGCTGAATGTCCCCAGCACCTAGCAGTGCCACTCCGTTACAAATTTTACTAATGCGAGGTGGTTTACAGAGAGCTGGAGTAAACAGCCTGCCTGTGGCTCCAGGCATGCCCAGGGATAAATGCTGAGAATTGGCTAGGTTAGATGCGGAACATGCCTAGAGATAAACATATTTCCTATTTATTTTGCCAGGAATCCAGTTAGATGGCAACAGATTTGAGTGGTTTTCAGTTGCTGGATTTGTTGTTCTGCTTGCTGCCTGCTCTAGGGGAGCTGCCCCTGCTGGGGTGCATGGGGGTGAGGGACCTTTCGGAGGGGCTGCCCTCGCTGTCATGGTACCCCCAGTGTTCGGTGCACTGAGAGTGATTCTGCAGTTCCTACACATTTATCCCATGCTTAAAATGACCTGGCTGCTATTTCTCCTGTTTTCGTCTCCTGCTGTCCCTTCAAAGCCACGTTTCCTTCCAAAGAAGCTCTGCGATCACTGGGGCTCTCACCCACTGAACACATCATGTAAAGTGCAAGTAAAGCCTTAAACAAAGCATTGGGAAATTACCTTTAAATGGTCACTCTACAGCCTGGAAAAGACTATGAATGTAGAGTTTTCTTATTTTATTTATTTGTATTGGACCTTCTTTGTTCTTTGGATATAAAAGGGGTCATATGTCATTCACCCTAATTAGTAGCTATTAGCCTTGACAACTTAATGTGCTGTTGTTTTTCTCCCTGTCAGTACAGAAAATAGAGGTCACTGCTTCTGAGTTCTGGTTTTAGCAGTAGAGGTGTCTGGACACTGCTTAGCTCCTCCAGCTGGAGACAGCAATAAATAAGGTGCTGAACAGCTCATCAAATGACTCACTCTAAAAATAGACTCCCAGCAGCATCTCTGATGATCCTTTCTCTGTGCAGCGTTCACAGCCCTACAAACAGGGAATTGTCAAAAAGCTGGAAGCTTGTGTAGTACGGGGACGTTAGAAGGTGCTACAGCAGTAAGGGCTCTGCGGGGACGGTGAAAGAACTTTACAGAGGATGCTCTTTTCCAGCAGCCTGTTTTATTTGCCAGCTTTTCAGGCAGCATGTGTATAAAGCATGCACCTGGGGAGGGGCTTAACGTTCATAAAATTCTGTTATTGCATCATTATTGTTTCCTCTGGTTTCTCTGGATGCAGGGGAGGTAAGATGGCAGTTGCTGACTGATCAGCCTGTATCCCAGCACCTTCCCTCTTACTAAAAGACCTATTTTGGGGCAGAGGGAGGCCACAAAGAGTAAGCAGAGCACCAGGTCCAGCACCCAGGGCTTCCCCAGGGCTGGCTCAGGGCAGGGCAGCACCACCCCACCGAGCACACCCCGGGAGCTGCTCCGGGTGCCCAGGCGTTGTGGTGGGGTCGCAGAGCCAGCGTGGGGACCCCTGGCTCCTGAATTCGCGTGGTCTTAAATGATCAAAAGACAACCGTGCTTTTTCTGGTTGCTGTGTTGAAGCAGTCAAGGGACATTTCCTGCCTAGTGGTGCAAAACCTTGTGGTTTTCACACGCAGTCTATGAAAGCTGCAATATCTCATGAAGAATGGAA